ATTTTTAAATTTGTTTTTTAAGCAGTAATACGAAGTTCGCAAATAATAAACTACGTATCAAAAATACAATATTCGAACGAGTACAGTGACGTTTTCAAAATGTCGTGTGCTAATCTAGCGCAAAGAACTTTCAATTTCGTAAGTTTAAACGTCATTTTCTCGTATTTGCAGAAGTTCTGACGGTCGAACTTTTTTTTGGTGCTTTTAAATATTATTATAATAATTATCATAATGAGTAAAAGTATTCGGAAAATTTCGGAACGGGACTGAACGTTAGGATTTTCACCCCATGGCCTAATAGTAATAAACTGAGCATATTGTTTTTGGTACGTGTGTGAATATGCTAATTGCTCATTTGCACAATAAATATTTCACTAATCTAGAAATATTACGCTAAATACCATCATAATTCCCATAAAAATGTTTTAATTTGGTTGAAATTGTAATACTTCATGTTGTCGTCATTGTCATGCTTTTACCGCGATAACTAAAGTTTGGCAAGTCTGATTGGTTTTCCAACTCGTGTTGATCAATTCTCAGAGAAAAATCACACAATGGGGAGGCTATTCTACTGCGCAGCAAAAAGAACATTTCTCAATTGTAATGAAACTAAAACTAAATTGTTATGTCATTCTTTTGAGTCTTGTCTTTGGTATACTGTTTTTGAACACAGTTTATCACAGTATGTCTTTTCCTGATACGTTTATAACATCATTTGTTTATATTTGAGTGCCGTTTCTCTCGTTATTTACTATTTATGTTTATAAATATCTACTCAGAAAAATGTTAATTTAGTGTAACTTCAGCTGCGACTAGCTAGAGTTCTGTCTAGCCTTACAAAAGCTCGTCTTTTCGAGTTGCTGTAATTTTTAATTTTAATAATAAAAATACAGAATAACTATATTTATTTTTTATTTTTGGTGATAAAATGGTAACAATAATATTGAAGGCTTATTATATAATATGCAATCCAATGAAATCTTATAAAAGAAAATCAATTCCTACTTTGTTAATAACTTTCACTCTCTATATAACAGTGTTTTTTTTTCAATTATTTCTTGAATTTCTATTAAAAAAAAAAAAAAAAAAAAAAAAAAAAACCCAATAAAACGCGAGTTTAGTTTTTTAAAACAAAACCATTAGCACAGAATTAACTACCTGAACACAAATGTTACTAAAGCCTGTTTCAAAAAATCACCACATTCGCCGATTCATCGCGCGCGACGAATGGTAACCAATGACCACCAATCATTCGCCGAATTCACTAAACGTCAGCTTCTCGCTGATCTTTACACTTGAGTGATGCCGAATTTCGAGTGAACCTCAATCACATATTTCCGTTGTTTGTAGGCCTATCTATTATATCTATTTATTATTTTTTCTATTTATTTATTAGTATAAATTTAGGAATTAATGATAGGCTATGTTAAACAAAAGTGATGCACAGGGCCTATAGTTGTTCAAACGATGAACTGTTTCCATGAATAAACCGTAACTTGTAATGTACGAACACCACTTAGAGGCCTAATAGCAGAGGCAATATTTGGCTAAATTTTTTTTTCTATTTTCAAGGCCTGGTATTATTTGGCAGCGTTGTCACAGCGTTTCCATAAAGTCACTACCGACTGTTGGACGTCGGTGATACCGTGTATCAATATGCAAACAAAGCTTAACTTAAACCATTTAAATAATATATAATTAATTAACATTAGTTTTTGTACAATAAGATTAATAAATTTACACATCGTAACCGATGATATTACTGTACAGTTTATGTATAATGCTGACTCTCGGAAACATGTTTAGACAACGTGGCTACAGTAGTTACAGGATTGTCACAAACTTATAGCATCAAGTTAAAATACTCAATAATTTACATAAATCAATATGGGCCCTATTCAAAATATGCACAAAATGCTGCCTATACGTTACTTTGTTCTAAATTTAATATGTAGTTGGTTCAATCTTTTGTGACAGTACGACATCTTCTGGTCACACTGGTACAGTACTAATATCTCGTATTAGACCATGAAGTGAATAAGACCTGTCTCTTATACACATCTAGATGTGTATAAGAGACAGGTGCATAAATGCACACACCGGCTTGATTGCCGCAATATCGAGTAGACCCTTTCAGACAGAGCAAGCCAGTAACCATTACCGTAATATTGCGGCAATATTTCTAGATGCCGAAGTGGTCTAAAGTAAGACAGCATATTGGCGTATGGACCCTTTCAGACTGAAACCCATGCTGGCTTGCTTACCGTAATATTGCAGTATTGCAGCTGTCTGAAAGGGACTTATGTTCAAACTTTGCAGAATGTAAGATATAGGCCATGGGGTGAAGCTCAAAAGACGTCTAGAAAACGAATTCCGTTCCGATTTTTTCATTATAAAAAATTTAGGCCTACAATAGTTAAGTAATATGTCTTGAATCAAATATAAAAAGTTCGACAAAAATATCTTCTGCAATTTTAAGAAAATTACCGTTTTATTACGTTCCTAGGCTGCTGGTCGTCGGAAAACACACCGCGATACAGCGGTGTAGAAGCACGTCGCGATCATACCATGAGCTGTCCACTTGCGTTTTGTACAGGTCGGTTATTATTATATTAATATGTATGCTAAAAAGCTAAAATAATGGAAGATGGCAGCCATTTTGAATTGTAATAGCTCAAAAATTGTGTACAATATTTAGTTAACTATTGTTGTCATTGTTATGAGTGGATTTCCAATTGAATACTGCATTTTAATGACATAAATTTACAATATTAGTGACAATTTTAGGAAAAAATGGCGGCCATTTTGAAACGGCTGGCAACCCCCCTTACGTATGAAAAAAAAAATGTTGCACATACTTTTTTGATTTATCTATGTCTACTCTACATCATATCCAATTTTTAAAAAATATAGCAAAAAAAATGCAACCAACCAAAGTTTGCTGGACTAAAACCTGATTGGATGAAAGTCCATGCAGCTACCGAATTACACATGCACCGTCCGTAATATATAGGAACGGTAGGTGGCGCACTTTTGTTTTTCGCCTTCTATCAAGAGATTTATCAAAGGATTTTATTTATCAAGAGAAAGGAAGGACGAAACACTAACACATGATGTATAGCCTGGGGTGGTTTAGGGAGGGTATTCCCTGCCTAATTCGGACTTGCACCGGGTTTTTAACTATCATGTAACTATCAACTGGTTCTAAATTTGTTTTTGTGACCCATTTTCATATCCCCTTTTGTGGTGCCCCAAGAGGGCAAGGGTGCTGCTGTTTTAAAATACTACTCACCCGGAGCACCTCTATTGTTGACAAAATTGGAAGTTAAAACTAAATTTACATTAAAATATTTTCTCAGACTTCGACAACATAGTTTATCTATATGGCGACAAAACGACCTACCAGCATGAAATATCAGCTGGTCATAGTAATATACCGTATTAAAATAAACGCCCACTTTGAATAAACGCCACTCTGAATTTTCCCCTTTACAACCTCGTTTGGAATAAACGCCTCTATCGGGAAAACCCAAGGGTTGCGCCAGGGGGAAAAATATATGTATTATCTACATATTACTAGACTCCAAAATCGATTAAATAATAAGTATTTGAAACTCCCAAATCGTCAAATATTTCAGTGGCTTCGCCCCACTGAAACACTTTAGAAAGATTTAGAGCGGCGGTCGACCACGCCCATTTTTTCGTCGGAAACATCGCCCCCTCC